ATGATTTTTCACTTTGTGTGTGTCTCTCTCTCACTGCTTCTGGTGAGCGCATGAGTTCTATAGCAAAAATCTCTCTAAAAAAAAAAAAATAAAAAAAATAAAATAAAATAAAAGACAGCATGAGGAAAAGCAAAGTTAGGAGTGACTCTGAAGGTTTTAGCTGGAGGGATGTAACTGTCATTTACTGAGATATGGAAAATAGGTTTATGAAGGGAAGATGTGACGAGTTTTGGACATGTCACATTTAAGGTGTCTACTAGTCATGGACGAGGAGATGACAAAAATAGCCACCTACATACATCATGTGGGAGTTCGAAGCAGAGGTACGGGATGAAATTGGGAGTGATCCGCCTAACCGTACGTAAAGCCATGAGACTGAAGGATGACATCAAGAAGAGGATTAGGTGAAGGAGCATAAAGACATGCAGAGCCTGGGCCCCAACCTCAAGAGACCAAAGAGAGAGATGAGAGAACCTTTGACAGAACTTTATATACGTTCTCATTCCTACTATAAACTGCATGACACCAGGACTTCTGCACCTAAGAGCGCCTTCCTTTTTGTTTCTTTTTCCTTAAGAGAGATTTTTTGCTATAGGATGGATGTACTCGCTAGAGAGACAGAAAGACAGAAAGTGAGAAATCACCCCCCAGGGGAGATAGCCATGCCACAATCCCTTCTCTTCTATTCTCTTCTTGGGATTTTGAGCACACATGTACCTGGCGTGAGTGTAAGTCGCTGGGTTTGGGACTTGAACTGCGGTTTACTATGTGGGGGTCCAGTAACGTAACCATTACACCATCTACTGGTACCGCTAAGAGCACCTTAGCAGGTACACAATGACTGCTTGTCCTGGTGCATGTTTCCACAGCCCTGTTTTTTTTTCCTCTCTCTTTTTTTTTGCTTTTAGAAATTTTTGTCATAGGGCAATGTGTACTCGCCGAAGACACAGAGAAACAGAAAGTGAGAAATCATTTCCCAGGGGGAATGGCCACACTCCAGTCCCTTCTCCTCCATCCTCCTCCTGGGATTTTGGGCATGCACGCATACGTGCTCCGCGTGAGTCTCAAACTGCTGGGTCTGGGACTCGAACTGCAGTTGACTATGTGGGAGTCCAGCAAAGGAACCATTAAGCCAAGCATTTTAGTATCCTGAAAGTTCCGTCATCCTTGGGGTTCAGATGTTCCGTGCTGATTCAAAATTTTCCTAGCTTGGGAAAGATATTCAGACCTGTACCTACCTTTACTGACAGCAAAGGGTGTATCTGCTTGGAATGGAATCAGGGCTGGGTCTGTGTGCAGGGCACTCCCATGTTTCAATATACGGTTGCGAGAAACTGAACTATATGTAAGGATTTATTGAGTCATCAGCAACCATCTGAAAACGATTTATAATGATTCCAAATCCCCACTGGACAATGCTGAATGGATTCTTCTTGTGCTTTATTACTTTTTAAATTAAAAAAAAATTTAAAATTAATTTATTTATTCTTACATTTTCCCACATTTATTTACATATCAAAAAAATTGTGCTCATACTCCATAGTTCTTGACAGTTAGTAAACAACTTTCAAAATTTCAAAATACGGAATTTTAAAGATAATGTTCAAAATATTCCTTTTAATTTTGTGTAATTTTGTTTGACTCTAATAGCAGAAACAGTATGGTTTTAACTATTTCTGAGAAAATATTTACATGTCAACTACTCAAATTGTTGATGGTGGCATGTGTGCAGGCACAAACTATTGGGTTGTGAGAAAAGTCATGACACATTTTTACATAGAAAAACAGAAAAATACTCATGACTTTCCGACAACCCAACAGTAAGCGAGCAAGAAGGGAAGCACCCCACTGCCAGCAGGGCCTGGTAATACCAGAATCCCTTCCCTCAGTCCCCCACTAGTTAGGATTCTGGGCAGGTTCCGTGCATCCTGAGTGTTTCAGGTCACCTGGACCAGGGATCGGAACCTCGGTCAGCCATCTGGCCTTAACACTGTAGTCTGGCACACCACAAACTGCACCACAGAGGCTGGGCCATGTTTTTATCATTAACTAAATTCTCCTGTAGTCGAGGAAAGATGCAGAGTCAGGAAAAAGTGAAGAGGGGGAAAAAAGAAACACCAGGCAACCTTTTTAGATTGGAATATTGTGAATCCAGGGATGAGAGGACAACTCTTTAATGCTCACTGGACTTGTCCACTTGGGCAGACTCCCACACTACAGTTCCTATGTGAGATACTAGGGAACAATACCTATGGATTTCCTACCACAGGTGCTCTCCCATCACTATGGCATCACTTCACAATATGCTTTTTCTCTTAGAATAAGTGTCACCAGCAGAACCAGTTGTCACTGTCCAGCCCCTCAGTTCCCAGTGCTAACCTTCATGTCAGGTTAATTCTTCTGATCTCAGTGGGTGTGAGCTTAATATCACCAACTTCTCTAACCCTCCCTAGCCCAGTTTCCTCATTGAAACTCATCTTTACCATCCTGGAGAGACTGGCGAATCTACAACTGCTTCCTATCAGACTTCCCGCTCTGAACACTTGGATTCCACAGATGCATCCACTTTGGTGCTTGTCACCTCCTGCCAGGCAACTGTCCTTCTCCCCATGCTGCTTCACAGAAAAGCAGCCACCAACCCTTCCATTCTCAAGCAAAGCCAACACCATTCTGTAGGGTTTGCTAAACCCTGACAAGGCTTGGGGAAGAAAACAGAACACCTGACATTAGGTATCTACTATGTTAGGATCCAGCAGCCATGCTTTTCCCCTGGAAGGGCTTTGCTGACATCTCTCTCATCACCACCGGCCTCTCCTCAGAAAGCCCAGAGCCTTCCCTGACTAGAATACTAGTTAGCATTGTCATACTCTGAAGACCTGATCCCAGAAGACAACTTTTTACATTAGAAGCCCAGAAATTTGGAAATGCATGGATCTAGAATAATAGTATTTTGAATTTTCTTCAAAATATACAAAAGCCCAATGTGTTTTTCTTGGAACACAAAGAATTGCCGCCATGTGTCCACTCAGCTTTGCTAGTTTACCACTCGTGATCCCCTCTTCACATCACTGGTTCTCTGTATGAGCAATAATCCCAAATCATCAGTTAGTCTTTGCCTTAACCCCAAACCTTGAAACTCAGAGTTGCCAAGGGGATTAGAGTAGATCATGTATGTAAACACCGCAATCATATGTGCTCGATAAATGACAACACCCATTATTATTATTCACCCACACCATACATTTAGTAAGTTATTTGTGAATGTCCCCAAATAACAGTTTACTACTAGAGAAGCCCGTAGGAATAGGAGCTAAATATCGGTTAACTTTTTGTCTTCTGAAACTCCTAGCAAAAAAAAAAAAACAAAAACAAAAAACCAAAACAGGCACACAGGGCCAGCCAGTGGTGTGGCGGTAAAGGTGGCTAGTTCTCACAAGTCCTGGAGGCTTGAAAATCACAACAGCATGTGTGCAAGCATGCCCCAAATCTGTAGAGAATGGAGGAAAAAAGATTGTGGGTGGCCAACCCCCTTGAGGGCTGATTTCTCATTTTCCTCATCTCTCTCTCCAGCAAGGACATGTACCCTACGGCAAAGCTTAAAAACAAACACAAACAAAAACACACTTAAAAATACAATTTTAGGTTAAAGAATTCTTTTCAATTCAACAAATATTTAAGATGGAGTCTATGCATAACAGAATACTAAGAGATGACTCCCTTTCTTAAGAAGTTTATAAAGATGTGTACAAATATATAAATGTATACAACTTTGTCCAAGACAAAGTTTGGTCATTGAGAAGTTTACGTACCTGCTAAGGAGTTCAAATGAAGACCCAAAGCCTAATAGTGTCATCAAGTACACAGTGGTGGCAGGTGTGGTCTGGGAACGCTCAGTCCCTTTCAGAGGGTCTGCGATGCCAACATGATTTTTTACCACAATGGGAAGACCTTGTTTACCTTTTTCATTCATTTTCTCAGAACACTGGTGTGCTCCATGACCTGTGACACTGTAACAGTCTGAATGCAGAAATATAAAAGAATCCAGCTCTGTGATTAGGCCAAGATCTTAAAGAGATTTTCAAAATGCCACTTTTCTAACTCATTTTTTTGTTTTGTTTGGAAAGATTCATGTTTCCAAAACATGTTGTTACCATGTAACAGTATTCTTTTAAAATATATATTGTAAAAATGCAATGGTTTTAACTTCAAGTGACCTAGATATCAGTATATATTTTATGTACACATTGTATGTGTATATATATATATATATGTGTGTGTGTGTGTGTGTGTGTGTGTGTATATACATATGACCCACATAAAAGCTCTCTGGGGTCCTCAATAATTCTTGAGAATGTAAACGATCAGTGAGACCAAAACCTGCAAGAACCGCTCAGAGAGCATTACTAAGCCTTCTAAAAAATACAGACCGAGTGTAATGTCCATGGTGAAGTCAGGGAGACAACTCAGTAACCTGGTCTGGCAGGAGGATGGTGAGTTAACTTCAGTCTTTCCCACCATCCTTCAAACTTCCACGAATCCCTGCACCCTGGTTTTTACTTTCATTACTTCGCCTGCACCTCCCCTTCCCAACCTTCCTTGGGTCTTCCAAGGCTGTACCCACATCCCTCTCTTTTGCACTTTAAGTCCACCAGGATGACTGTCCGGGCAGGATGGTCTCCAGAGAGCGTTTCTGTCACACTGTCACGCTCTACCTCCACCTGTCCCAGCTCAGGGGCGGAGGGCAGGAAAGGGCTGTGAAGCAGCGCTGTGCCATTTGCCTTCTCCCAGCCCCAGACGGGTCCCACCTGCAAGTCCTGCCCTCCCAGGGCTCTGCTGGGGCCAGGCTCTCCCTAAAAGATGACCGAAACTCTCCGCATCTCCTTCCTCATTCCACACCAGCGGCCCCTCTGCGGTCGCCGTAGCCCGGACGCGCTCCAGACCTCGACAGCGACCCCCCCAGGCCGGACCCCACCTCCTGCCTCGCGCGCCCTGGAGCTCACCTGAGCCGGAGGCGCCCCCGACTTCCCGCCACCTCGGCCAGCCTCCTCCCGCCTCGGCCCCCCGGCGCCCG